ACACACACACACACACACACACACACACACACACACACATATACTCACATGTGTGTATTTCTAACTCTTGAGGGTCTTAATGCAGTCCAGGCCACCTACCCTAACCTCAACCTCAACCATATTATAGCTTCAGAGGGTGGGACAAGTATTTAGAACTTTTGCTTTAGTAATTCAATCATGTAAATGTCCTGTTACCAGTGAAATCATGCAAGCGAAGCTTTACATAATTAAATACCAAAAAATAAAAGCACTTAACATGCAGGATTAGTTATGTGCATTATGGCTATAAATGCATTAATATATTTATGTATTGCGGCTATAACAGATGCTGCCTGTAGCTGCTGGATACTGCTGGGTAACATTATGACATGATAATACATCATCATTTACATGTTGCTGTATTTTTACTCCAAACTGTAATTAACCATTAAATAACATGATATTTACCTCTCAAATATTTGGGAGTGTGTTTAATATTGTGTGATATTTGTTGTGCTTATTCTACTTTGTTTTTGTAGGGTTACTGATATTTTAAATGGCCTTTTTAGGTATCCATGCTGTCACAGCTGCATGAGTATAAATAAATGATGGTGCAAGTAAGTGGTAGTAGTACTTGACCTGAAAGCAAACTATACTCTAGCCTACTTAGTAACATTAGTTTGTTTTTTATTTTACATTACAATGATAGTATTATTAACATGTTATTAAAGTTAACATCATGTAATAGGTTTAGTTTTTGTATGATGTTAGACTTTGTATCTGATAAAGTAAATTAACTGCAGACAGCCTTTGAAGGCAGGTCCCTAAATTGGGACCAGTTGAAAGTTACTAACTTTCCACAAATGTCCACATACCCAATCTCTAAAACTCATACTGACCCTTACAAAGATAAACATTTGAGTACACGCAGAGCCTGTGATGCTGATTCAAGCTTTTTACATCCCAACTCTTTCTTCCTTTGTCTTCAGCCCAGTTTGGAAGAAACATCTGGAACTGCTTCGGCTTTGTGTGTGTGCGCGCGTGTATTTGTATGTGCATTTGTGTGTTACAGAGTTAATGAACTGCTGTGTGTTTATGTGTACTACTCTGTATGTGTGTGTAGAGCATATCTAATTATAATGCATTGTGGTTGGGTTTGTGTGTGTAATTGAGTACATGTTTACATAGATATCCATGCAACACTGGGATTTCTGTTTGTGTATGCCTGTGTCGTTGAGAGGACCCATTTTAGCTTTCCATTTTATGCCACTTTATGTTGTTACTACACACTTGAATTATAAATATCATACCCTGTACTCCACTCTACTTTTTACTTAATAATTTATTACTGCTTCTGTTACTTTAGTTACTTTGTAGAAAGCCAGAACCTCAATATACATGAATTATACTGCGCTGCAGAATGACTACTTTGCATTTACATGACTTTTACCTTCAGCAGAACGTTTTTACACAGCAGCATCATTAAAACTTTGACTATTCTGGGAATGCATGATATCATAGGTACAGTGTGTTTGTTGCTTGGGCCATTATATCTGTGTCATCAGGGTGGGATGGCAGTCTGGCAGAGCAACACACACATATGCAAGCTCAAGCATAGTGTAAAGATATTCACTTACTCTACAGACAAATACACAACAACCACATAGTACAAATACCAAAGCCTAAAACCGCACACAAAGAAATAAAGTCTGCTTATTTCTTTGAGAGACTGCTTACTAACAGTTTTCAGCTCCAAAGGGACACACCCATATCCTGCTCTAAGTCACATTCACTTTATGTAATTATGTATGTGGCAGAGCTGATGCAGTAGGATGTTTTGAACTTTACTATGTTGCAACCTCCAGCTAAAACCGAGAACACAGCTGCCTGTTGCCCTCAACACTTTCAGCTGTCATTATATTATCACATATCACAAGCCTCAAAGCTAATCTCCTCTGTGACCTAAGCAATGTCATGCTATATGTACGCAATGTTATTAATGAAGTAGGATTTTTGGGTTACCAGTTAGGCAGGGGTTGACACAGAAGTCACATATGTTTTTTATGTTTCATGTGAAACCTTTTTTACTCTGCGCCACACTGGTCCATTTCCATAAAAGTCATAACACTGTGTAAAAAGGAATTAAAAGCACAGTGCAATGATCTCTTAGTCATTTGATGCAGATTGTCAACTGAACATGTTAAATGCAGAAATGTTGATTTGATTTGATTTGAAAACAGATGGTACATCCCAGAAATAATTGGAATTGTTGCCAACAGGTGAGTAACACTAGCATCAAAGAGTGTTTCAGAAGTAAGGGTGGGAGGAGGTTAAGCAATGTGTGAGGAACTGTGCAGCCAAATAGTTGTATGTATGATATATAAAATCTAGAAGGATTAAAGGAAATCTCGTTAAAGGATAATCCAATGAAATCCCCTTGTGAGAAGGGTGCGAGGCTGGAAACCAGTACTGAAAGGCTGTTATCTCTGGACGCTTCAGCACGGCATTAAAATCAGACACACGCTCAGGAACACTTGTGAAAACAAAACGTGTACGCACAAATGTAAGTTAAAGCTCTGCCATGCATTGCATATAAATGACATTTGTGGCCCGTGGACTGATTTGAATGTCACATCCATCGGGCCAGAGATGAGTGACACCATCCACCTTGTGATCCATGGAGCACCAGCATATAAACAGTTTGAAAATGGTCTGCCTGTTTTAATTTTTATCCCAAGATATACTTTAGTGAATAAGTAGCATTTTTGTGCCTTTTTCAAATTGTGAAAACCGGATGAGATCACTAACTCTACTGCCTAAAACGTTTTATACCAGCGGTCCTCAATCACGGTCCGTGAGTCGTTTGGTACCGGGCCGCGAGAGTTGAGGGTCAGGTGTGAAATTTGTGGTTTTCAGGTTTTTCCTCGTTAACTCGGTCTCCCTGGGTCTTTTCCCGTGTTGTAGTTCTGTCTTATTTTGAAATAAATGTTTACGCGTTGCCATAGCGACCAGAGAGCATTAAGGGGCAGAGAGGAGGACGTCACTCTCAGTGTTGTTGGCGCATTTCAGGAGGACGCTGCTAATAAAGTAAGACAATTACACAGTGAATTTGCGTTTATTATTATATTTACAAAATACCACAGTTTTTGTCTTGGTCGTATCATTTTATTTTGTTGTATTTATCCACGACACCTTAAAGGCCGGTCCGTGAAAATATTGTTTGACGTTAAACCGGTCCGTGGCGCAAGAAAGATTGGAGCCGCTGTTTTATACAACAGAATGGGAGTGGAAACAGGAAATAAACAGGGATCTTGTTAAAGCGTTGTGTTCGTCGACACCAACTTCATACTATATGTGTTTATACTAAACTATCACTGGTCCTGCAGCATAATTCCCACGGCTGCTACAAATGAGCTTTGGGGTTGGCTGAAATGACTCATGTTGTTATTTTTCCTGCTGATTTCTGATTCATCCGCTTCTTACCCTGAAGGTCTTCCAGTTGATGTCCAGTCTTTGAGCCACCTGAGCTTCAATTTATGCAGGTGGTGTGAGGTATCCACGCCGGTGTGCGAAGGCAACATATGCTCCAGCAACTGCAACTTGAGCTCTTTCTGTAACACCACTGAAGAGATCTGCATGGCCATATGGTGAGACCCTTTTTGAGTAACTTATATTCCTATGATTTGTTTTGTCTGTCTTCTGTGGGGAAACTTATAGAGCCTATGACCTAACCTGTATATAGGTAACTACATGAGAAAATAGACACATGGTAGTTTTTACTTCTCCTCAGTTTGATGTTTTCTAGCTGACTGTTTTGTTATTTGTTTAATACAGCACACCCTGAAGCCTCTAACATCCATAGAAATGCTATAAAATGACCATTGTTATTCTTCAGCACTGTCCCATGAGTCTGCAGATAAGAGAACAGTACAGCCGAGCTGGTTCAATATGGTGTCGATCAGTATTATGAAACATCCTGAAGTGATTTCTCTCAGCGTGCTACTGTTGGACTTAAATGAAAACACACACAGTCTCACACGCACGAACACAAACAAAACATGTGACCACAGTTTGGCCTTTTTCATAGTTGTTGGTTAATTTTTCTATTAGAGAGAATCTCTGTAGCTTCAAAACTTCACGCCAGCTTTCTGCTGCTGCTTTCTTCATGACTGGAAAGTTTTTGCTGATTGGTAGTTTTGTTTGGATAGCAGTCCTACACTGTGATCCCCTCGCTACACCCCCCTCTCATTTCCTGTGCACGTGAGCCAGCCTGACCCTCCCAGCTCTCTGAAGGAAACCAGCAATAGAGAACTGACAGAAGAAAAGAGGAGAAGAAAATTGGTTTATTCAGGGCAAATATACACAGTCTGTAGACTCTCTGTCAGGAACACGGTGTTTGTGTGAGCTCCACTTCACTGGTGTCATCTTTGCATCAGTGGTGCAAAGATTCAAAACTCTGTTTACTCACGTACTGTAGCTCAGTAAAGGTTTGAGGTACTTTTATTTTCTGCTTTACTCTTTGATGTGTTTATTGGATGAAGATGAAAAAATACTACCAAAAATGGTCAAAAGCAACAACAAACAAACAACCCTACAGATTGTTGAACAGCTGGCTTGTGAGCAGACTTTGGGATGAGCTTAGAGATTGCTTTTATGAACATTAGCTATTAATAATGCAGTAGCCAGTAGCCAGTATTCTATTATTCTCTTGTATTGTAAAAAAGACCCCGGACTCAGGCCTCTTCAAGCGTTAGTTTATAGAAAACTACAAGACATGAGAACATAAAATTAGCTTAGATGCAAATTAACATTCCAGGAATTAGTCTGTATGTTCTCCCTGTGCTCATGTAGTTTCCCAGCTTCCTTTCACAGTCCAAAGACATGTATATTAGGTTAACTGGTGATTGTAAGTTGTACATCGATGTTAGTTTGAATATTGTCTGTCTCTCTGAATTAGCCCAGCAACAAACTCTCAACTCATCCTGGGTGTACTATACCTTTTGCCAGCTGGAAAACGCTCCAGCCCTGGCTGAACTGGATAAATGGAGGAAGATGGGATGCATTTTCTTTTTGGCCAGTTACACATTAACATATTTAACAGCAGGGGTAATAGAAGTGGTATAAAGGGCTGAACTTCCATCCACTATCTTCTGCTTGTCCAGTCCATAGTGAGAGGGACTGGGTACATCCTCAACAGGTTGCTGGTCTGCAAGTCTCCTTGCTAGTCTCGTGACTGTCCTCAGTCAGTGCTGTCTCGATGACTGTATAAATGGATTCAACGATAAATGTATGAATGTAATAAATGACAGAGCACAGAGCAGTGTTGACCTTCAGCTTTGTGATGCAATCAGTGGCTGGAGAGATGATGTCTCATCTCTCTCACATCAGCAGGATGTAAACTCCTCTTTAAGTAAAGCCAGTCACATGCGTTACTTTCTAATGTTTCTAATTTTTTTTGTCTGCTCTTCCAGGAGGAAGGCAAACAACACAATGACAGTGTACACAATGTGTCACCACCCAAATCTGCCACTGGATGGTATCAGTCCTGACCTGCTGCAGACCTTCACTTCCAGGGAGTGTCGTATGGTCCCACAGGCTGCAAATGACTCCATGATGGTCTGTGGATGCCAGGGTGAACATGAATGTAACGACAAACTTGTCTTCGACAAGGGAGCAAATGGTGAAGAGAAGGAGGAACGAGGGAGTGTGGGAAAGAATAAATGCATGAAAAGATAAATATGTGAATATAATGAAATCCAGCTAGGTGGATGAATAGATAAAACAATGAACAGGTAGCTAAATCAGTGGTTAACTGATAAAATCCTCTGTTCCTGCAGGATTCTTACCGCTCCAAAGTAAGGATGTGATCCCTGTGGTAGTGGTTAGTTTGGTGCCCCCTATTCTGGTGGCCATAGTTGCCATTGCTGCCTTCTATTTCTACCGCATACGTCGTCCTGACAAACCAGCTCCATCAGTATGCCCTGACTGGCCCACTAAACGCACCCCTGAACTTTACCAGGCCTTGGATCTACCATGTGGGGGCCTGGGTGCTCAGGGAGAAGGTGGAGGAGGAGGTGTGACTGATGCTGAACAGGATGAGTCGAACACCAAGGTTCAACCTCTTAACAGTGACACTATCAGCGGTATGACCAGTTGGCAGGGCCAGCCAGCTGAACTGCTACCTATCAAACTGGATGTGCTGGTGGGGAAGGGGCGCTTTGCCGAAGTGTGGAGGGGATGGCTGCTCCAGGGCGAGAAAGGTGGAGTTAATAGCTATGAAACTGTGGCGGTGAAGGTGTTTCCGGATGTGGAGTACGCCTCATGGAGAAATGAATGCTCCATCTTTGCTGACCCCGAGCTACAGCACGATAATGTGATTCAGTTCCTAGCAGCTGAAGAAAGGGGCCTGTCGGGCCACACCCCACACACCTACTGGCTGGTTTTAGCCTATCACAGCCTAGGAAATCTGCAGGACTTCCTCACAGCTAACATATTGAGTTGGGAAGAACTTGTTGCCATGGCAGGCAGCATTGCTAAAGGATTAGCTCACCTTCATAGTGACACAACACCCAGTGGGCTACCAAAGGTAAATTTAACCTATCATCTTCTAAGATTTATTATTATTGATGTTCCCAACGAAGAGCTGAAGGGAATCCACCATGAAGTTTAGATTCAGTTCAATTCCATTTGTATAGCACCAAATAATAACAACAGTAGTCTCAAGGGAATGAGCCAGAATTTTAAATGAATTACTAACAATTAAACTACAATAGTGGTATCAAACACCGAAGCTGAAGGCCCTATCTCCCATAGGAACCACAAGTAAGCCCACAGTCTGGGATAATATGTTGCTATAAGGTCTTTAAGATATTATTGAGCATGATTGTTCTAGAAAGAAATATAACTCCTGAAAATAATCAAATTAATTATTAATCATCAAGTATTAACTTTGATTTGAGTACATTGCATGGATGAATTTTGAGTTGCATGGCTTTGATTAAACAAGTTGCAGTTATTCAAGGATTTGAACACCAGCAATGAAATGTTTGTATGCTTTGCATGTTTATGAATTACCCCCTTTTTACATTACAAAGGTTTCAATGCCCTTTACTAACTTCTAAAGCAGATTTAATGAAACAAATGCTGGCTGAAAGATTGCATTTACAAAGAAGCTGGTTAAAACTAGACTTGCTTAAGTGAAGCATTTTATCTTTGGCTCTAGACGCACACCTATAATCATTCATGAAATGCCAGATCAGATTTCAAACTTAGTCCTGACAGTACACTTAACCCACACTGGATACATATATGACTCAGGGTGATTATAGTGGTTATTATGCCAAAGGGAAGTGTGGCTAAAACCATTTGTTTACAACTCAGATAAACAACGGTAAAAAGTATACTTCGTCTTGGTTAGCCAAACACAAGGCCTATGCTCTTTAGCTTCTTCTTCTCTTTTTTTCAATCTTTGCTCTACAGCTTCTTCCTAATATCCAAACTTAAGGACACAAGTGTATATTCTTGCATTGCCAGGTAGTAGACTACTGTATCTATGTCAGTAAATTAACAACACATAATTCACTGAACTCACAGAGGATGAAAAGGTGCCCTTGTCAGACCAAGGCCTAAGCATATAATGCAATTTAATTACTGTTTTCTTCAGGTTCACATAGATTTGGACAAAGCCATTTAAATTGACAAATGCTGGCCAAGAAAACTCTACCAGTATATTTTAAATCAATGCTGCCTATTGTGAATGAAATCATGCATTGTTTGAAACCCCAAAGCCTCATGATTCATTGTATGGATGTGGACCATGATACAGATACCACAGCAGCAATATTTTCACAAAACAGATTTATCTCTATCTGATATGAATATATATGAATCTGTAGGATTGATTTTGGGCACAGTTTTTGGCTCCTTGCTGAAGTTGTTGTTTTGAGCATTGCTTGTTTTTGTAGGTACCAGTGGCCCATCGGGACCTCAAGAGCAGTAACATCCTGGTAAAGAGCAGGAAAGAGTGCGCACTGTGTGACTTTGGTCTGGCTTTAAGACTGGACCTGTCCCTTACAGTTGATGACTATGCCAACAGTGGACAGGTAATCTGTGCACAGCTGTGCAGTTTGTGTTTGAATATTTTTATTAAACACACCCATGACCCAAGCTATTATGCCTACCTGTCTGATGTGCTGTTTGCATGGCACCAAAAAAAGAGTTTATCATTCTGTCTAGGTGGGGACAGCTCGCTACATGGCTCCTGAGGTCCTTGAGTCCAGGGTGAACCTGGAGGATCTCGAGGCCTTTAAACAGATGGATGTTTATTCCATGGCTCTAGTCTTGTGGGAGATGGCCTCTCGATGCAATGCAATTGGAGGTATGTGTTCTTTTCTGTGTTTCTGTAGATCAAGAGAACAAATCCTTCATAGAGAGGACCTGCCACCCCATGTTTTTCACAGTTTAGGTTAAGGCCCAAGACCATACAAAAATGTGATGCCAGTCATTGTGCAGTCCTATGTTAAAAAAAGAAGGAGGTGATCAATCAGAGTCCAAAAGGAGGCCATGACCACAGAAGTAAACTAAATGTGTTCTGCTGTGCTTACCACAAGGGGGGAAAAAAGTAAAAGAAAACAAAACAGATTTAGTATGCAACCTTTGACTCACTGATATCCAACACATGGAGACTTCCTTTATGAATGAAGAGGTGGAGTTAGTTTAGTTTTTTGGAGCCCGTTTGTATGTTTGCTTTGACTGGAAGTGAACCAAAACCAAAGTCTCTGACTTTCTCCGGTTGCTTCACGGCATAGCACCCCCTGGCTGTAATGCTCAGCCTGCTTCCTGCACTTTCTTTGTTTAAAACTGATCTTGCGTGGCCCAAAGTGCTTTCCTTGCCTACAGCTTGTGTGGTTGATATAGTTAGCATATGTAATGTGATACACAAATATAATGACATGTAATCTTTCTAAATCTGTAGGGTAAAAGTGCTTAATTCTGCTTTGCTTTTCACTGTTTTTTTCAAACGGGGAACGACTAGATCTCTGTCTTATCAAAAAAAAGGGGGAAAAAGAAAAAAAGAGGTGACGTGGGACAGATGTTCTCAGTTTTTTGCATGTGTCCAAAACCTCTTTGCACTCTTCACTGTTCTTTAGAGCTTAGCACAAAAACGGCGTGTTGACATGTGCATAAATTGAAATGATGGCTACTGTCCCCGGAACTTGATTTAAGCATGACCTCCGGTTGAAGACGGAAATTTCGATCTTGGAAGTTTGCTCCAAAGTGTGGGGGGAGTGGTGCAGCTGAACTAAAGGTAGTCCCTGTGACAACAGCTGCAAGTTCAGTTACAGGTCAGACAACTCCCATTGCAGAAAAAAAAGTTTATGATAAATGTGTGTGTGTGTGTGTGTGTGTGTGTACGCGCATGCGTGTGTGTGTATTGCTGCAGAGGTGAAGAGCTATGAGCCAGCATTTGGCTCCAAGGTTTGTGAGCAGCCCTGTGTGGATAGCATGAGAGATCTGGTGTTGAGAGACCGAGGACGTCCGGACATCCCACTAGCGTGGACGCAGCACCAGGTCAGTAAAAAAGTAAAAGTGCAGTAAAGAAACAGACAAACTGAAAGTTTAGGCTTATGGCCACTGTCAACTGCCCACTCACAATTCAGCCAATCATATACCAGGCAATTCATTTTTTACGTGGTTTATTTCAGGGTGTAAAAACTCACAAATCAATTACAAAGATATTCAAAATATGCCTAATTGTGACCAAATCAGATTGTAAGAGTTGCTTGTTACAAGCTTATAGTCATCACTGTAGTCACTATAGTCACTATAGTCATCACTTGTCCTTTGGATCTAACGCTGATCTTCTTTAGGGGATGAACATCTTCTGTTCCACCATCACTGAGTGCTGGGATCACGACCCCGAGGCCAGGCTCACGGCTCACTGCGTGGTCGAGCGCTTCAGCGCCCTGGAGCAGGCGGAAGATGACGACGGGGTGGCAGACGAAGAAGACGAGGAAGGAGTAAGTCAGGAGTAAGAAGACGAGGTGAAACTCTGGCAAGAGAATGAAGCAGAGAGAAAAATAGACTTGGAGACGCCTCATGCTCCGTCTCCTCGAGGAGAGGAGATCTCTTTTCTTCCAGATTGAAAGGGAGGACATGCCTGAGGTTCACTGCTTCACACTGGTTTTCCCCCTAACAAGTCTTCATGGTTCGCTGTGTTTGCATTGTCGGAGAAACACGTGTTTTTTTCTGCTAATCTTCAATGAGACACTTACTGATAGAGAAGGAATTGTTAAGTCACTAAAACTGACAAGAATCTAAACTACAGTTACAGTTAAAGCAGTTTTTGACTGATAGTTAGGATTATCTAATTTGCCACAATAAGGATATTCAAAAAGTCAATACTAGCAAGAGTGGACCACTTCATAGACATTGCCCCAGTTTGCTCAGATGGAAGTTTAGCTCAGTCTCAACAGATGGGAATGGACCAGTGGTGCAGACTGGAACATCTCAACATGGAGAGGGATTTTACACAAATGTTTAAGCTCACAGTCGTATAGTCTGGAGAATCTTTAGGTACTGTTAACTTTCTCAAATAAAATGTGAAGAAAAGAAGTTTTCCCACAAGAATATATAAATAAATAGAACAAAATGGTCCAACATATAGTATGACAAACCTTTATATGACCCAAAGAATAATTCATTGTTGTGCAATTTGGCTTGAACTTGTGTAAAGCAAAAAATCTATACCAGCAACCCCATGATTGCACTGTTGCCATTTTATATTGACTTCTAGAGGGACAATCATAAAGAAAAGAATGGCCCCAAATTTCATGTTTTTTAGACTGTACATTTTCTAAGATATTTCAAGCACACCCACTCTTGGTGCCATTTTTACCCCTTTGCTTTGTCGTGTAGTGATCTGGCAGTGCGAACACAGCCGTTGTCACCCAACAGAGGGATTTTGTTTATTATGAATCTGTGTGTTTTCTCTTTGTTGCTTCCTGGATGTTTCCAGCGAAAGACCAGAGGAGACAGAAATGAACCAAAGACTGACTGTGCCTTAAACGACAGACCTACTTCTTCGCAAACTTTTGCTGAGGATGTGACACCCGAATCAGTCATAGATCTGCTGGCAGTTGCTGATCGCTGAACAGTTTGAAAAAGATTTGATTTGTTGGAGCTGGTCTCCATTTTGTCACGGTATTATTCTTTTATACTGGCTGTGACATGTGACTTATCATTGCTATACTATAACCTACTACTGTAGGTCATGTGACTATAACCTACATTTATGAATAAACAGGAGAGAAAAATCTTTTTCCTGGTTTTATGTTTGTTTGATAAAAAAATCTTAAAAAATAAATTTGACTTTTTTCATCTACACAGTTTCATCCCTTGGTGTATTTTCTTCTTTTCAATTACTTCTCTGAAAGACATTACTATAAATGCTAATAATATAAACTTATCTGCCACTCAATTCTATACATCTTGCTATCACTGGTTTGAACCCCTTTTTTGCTGTTTGAGTGGCCTAATATGGATTTAAAATAAGATTCTCCGAGGTGCTGGAAACATTTCTCTGAGATTTTGGTCCATGTTGACATGACAGCTTAAAAATAACCTACACACCATTACACCACCAGCAGAAGCCTAAACCGTTGATACAAGGGAGGATGGAGCCATGCATTTGCATTAATTACACCAAATTTCACAGCAGAAATTGAGACTCAGACCAGGGAACTTCTTTCCAATCTGGTGCTCGACTTTGGTGAGCCTGTGCAAATTGCAGTCCCAGTTTTCTGTTCTTTGCTGACAGGAGTGGCACCTGGTGTGGTCTTTTGCTGTTAGAACCCATCTGCTTGTGCTTTCAGAGATGCTCTTCTGCATACCTTGGATGTAACAAGCGGTTGCTTGAGTTACTGTTAACTTTCTATCAGTTTGAAGTGGTTTGCCTTTCTCCTCTGACCTCGGGCATCTAAAAGACTTTTTGGCTTAAAGAACTGCCTCACACTGGATATTTTTTATTTTTCAGACCATTCTCTGTGAGCCCTGGGGAGGCTCTGTGGGAATATCCCAGCAGATCACCAGTTTATGAATTACTCAGAGCAGCCTGTCTGGCACCACCAAGCATGCCACATTCAAAGTCACCTAAAATCACATTCTGATGCTTGTCTGTATACTTAAAGGCATTGAGTTCCTGCCGTGTGATTGGCTGATTAGATTTAGATTAGATTAGATATTTTAGATATTTATTAATGAGCATGTTATATACCCGAGAGTAAGGGCTACGGGACGTGGAATAACAATGGTATAACAGGGAAAAGAAAAAGCCAAACAAAACAAATTGTGAAAAACTAAGTTTAAATTAATAAAGGAGTCAACTCAAAAAGTCGGCAACAGCGCTATTTCAACTAAACAAACGACATCCACAAACTAAAACACACAGAGGAAAGACAAAGGAGATGGTTAACCAAATTAAAGGTTCACTTCTGCTACCAGTGGATACCAGCTACTCATTAGAAGCTCAAAGAAAACAAAGTTTCATTAAGACAAGCTGAATACACCACTAATGCTCACTACCTAAGAGGGGTCCACACACTGACTAAGCTGCTCTTTAGTAGTCAGCTGTGCACTGGCTCCTCAGGAGGGATGGATGGCAGCTGAGCTCCTGAATGACAATCTAGTGTCTAAAAACCTACATGTTAAAAAACAATATAGTGCTGTTCATTAGAAAAAATAAAGTTTTAAAACTTTTAAAACCATTTTTATGGTGGATACAAAGCTAAGTAACAATGTTTCTAGCTTGTTTCTATCTGACAAAAGATATTCCACCTAAAGATAATGCACCATATATAATAAAAATGATTATTTGTTTGAATTATCTGTGTTCTGTTTTAGCCTACATTTGTTTACACTGAAAAAATATGCCCATTAGCCAGCAGAAGTTGTTGTGTACCTGTGAATGTAAAGATAAAATCCATTTTACTACTACAAAAATTAAATATGATGATTCAGAAGTAAGTTCTTCCACTTTCTGATCATTTCTGAACCTTTTTTTAAAAATAAATGTTTGTTCAAATTTAGGAATGAACACTTCATACACTATTTCATCCTAGTTTGTTTATAAAAGAATAAAAATCTGTTGATTCTGTTTGTTGTGGGAGACAAGAGACAAAGATTGAATAGGTTAGAATACTTTCACAAAGGAAAGAGAGAGTAAGTGTCGCAGCATTGATAGGGATAAACTAAAGGTATAACACAGACATTGATCAACAAACTTATAAAATATGAAATGTCAGAAAATATTGAAAATATACAGTGTGTAAATCATCATATCCTTACCAAGCAATCCTTTTGAAGCGGTTGCTTCTGTAGATTTATGTTTTCTTATTTTTTCTTTTTTTAACCATAATGAAAATGCAAATCTCCAACATCACAGAAGAAACAAATGAAAGGGAAGCTGAAAACCACAAAAACTTTACAGCAGCATTTTATAGGTTGGGCTGAGCACTGAGATGGTTTTGGAGCCGGCTAAGCAAAACAGAATTTTTCATTAAAGCCTGAAAAATACAATAACCATAACACATGAGAAATAAACACCTATTACAATGAAAGAAACAATCACTGAACATTAAAAAACGTACCAAATATGCATGTTTTTGGTGCTACAGTTTGACTTAAAATGTTCCGTTAAAATGAAAATTTTAAGTCATTACCATGTAACACTAGAGTTTTCCACCTTCCTAACAGAGTGAAACAAGAGCTAATACAATCAAACAGACACAGGGTGGATTCTCATTAGCTACAGCGATCAGAGATGGTCTAAGTTTAAGCCATGATGGGCATTCAGATGTAATCACATTTACCTCATGTGTCTGATGTTTTGGTGCTACAGAGCGTGGGAACACAGCATCACATGGTGGAAAAAGTGAAAAGCTTTACAGACCTGCCTTAAGAAAAGAGGCAGGCATTAACTTTGAAGTGAAGGGAACCATAATGAACCTAACCCATTTTCTTCAAATTTTGGTTAAGCATGATGTCTTCACAATTTACAAGAATAATACCGTGGCAAAGGGTTTTCTTAATTTCTTTTTTCTCCCAAGTCCCTTGCGGGGCTCCATAAATTTATGTCTCAAGTACATTTTTTAGAGGGATTCTAACTTTTTATGGATTTGTGAATCTGTATCGCTGCTATAAATAATTTAACTTATGAAAAATATTGTATATAATAAAAAAAATTATACAAGCTTTTAAAGCAAATGCCTTTCTAAACTCCGCACTAAAAAAGATAAAATGTTGTTATTTATTTCCTTTGCCCCTTTGAGAGAGGAAAAAGATGTACCATATCTGTTGAATATACCTCATCCTACTAAAATATGATCTTTGGAGCGCTGTCTTCCTTCATTTGGGGGAGTGAATCATCTTGACAACAGACGATCTTTGGAGTGCACCCTCAGCTGACATAAGCTACAAACCAGGACCGCCGCAGCTGTCAGGCGTATATTTATCCCCTCACCGGCCGGCGTTACTGCTTTTACTACTCTTTTCACTTCGGATATAACTTATTTTAATTTGTTCGCTTGTTTTTCATTTATTCATTTATTTTTTGCGGGATGTTAGCATGTTTTGATTCACCGTGCAAGCGATGAACGAAACGAAAGTAGAAGGGACCGGACCGACACCGGCGAAGATTCTGTTGACTTCGGGCTGCCAAGCCCCTTTTGTCGGGCAGGTTGGAGGATGGAGCTGAGGTTAAGCCGGGATGGCAAGCCGTCCGTGTCCTGGTTCCTCCTCAGCCCTGCCCTTTTCTTCTCCCTTCTGGCCGTGCTAGTGAGCTGTCACGGTTCCTGCAAACACCGAGTCCCTTCTCCCAACGAGGTGAGCCTCGGCTGTCTCTGCCACAGCTTAGCTAAGCTAGAGCTGTAACAGCAGAGGCTAAGCTAGCACGTTAGTTGCGTCGGCTATTTAAGATGGTATTAAATATTATACAGTGTAATAAGACTTTATTGCCTCGGCACGTGGAAAACGAATAGTTGACAATCCCCAGCACGATGTGAAGGACGTGTTTTTGTGATTAAATACAACAAAAGCGTGTTGTTCAGTTGGTTCCTCACTAAGACTTGATGTGCAGTTTGATAGCAAGCTTACAGGCTAACAGTGATGCCACTGTGGTATACAAAGCTGTGTTTGTTTTACTGTGTTCACTGTACAGCTTCTGCCATGCACATTTAGACTATGAAAGCAGCTTTCAGATCAC